TTTTCTACTGATATCTAAAGTACTAATCATCACATTTCAATGAATCTAGAATTATGCAGACCCAATGAGTTTCTGGTAAATATTTGTGCATATTAATCACCTAATTTGCATAATTAACCAACTTTCACACTGATATCTCGGGTACTAAACATCACATATCAATGAATGTACATGGATGCTGTAGGACAATAGACAGACCTGGATAATTGTGGGTTAAAACCTGTACATATTAATTACCTAATTTGCATAATTAACCAATTTTAAGCTTTCACACTGATATCTAAAGTACTAATTATTCCATTTCAATGAAACTTAGTACAAAGATGCTCTAGGACAATGTACAAACCTAATTAGTTTGGGGTAAAAATCTGTTCATATTAATTCCCTAATAAGCATAATAATTCATAATTTTTGGTTCTAATCACATTTCAATTAAACTTGGAAACATAGATTTTCTGTTACATTGCGCAGACCTCATTAGTTTTACACTCAAATATGTTCATATTAATTTTCTGATTTGCATAATTAGTTTTCAGCTAAGTAATTTCGAATTATATTTAATGTGTCTCCAATACTCTCAGCACATGGGAGTTCTTTCTAAGCTTTCTTTGATTTTTTTTAGCTCCGCTGTCGACTTTGTCGAGCGGAGCTTATCATATGAGTGATTGTTCGTCGTCGTCCGTGTCAATGTTTTACTTTTTCGACTTCTTCTTGAAAACTACAAGCCTGAATGCTTTGATACTTGGTGTATATGTACCTTGGGTAGACCTGTCTCAGATTTGTTCATTTCATGATGATATCTTCAATTCTCTAATTTTGGTGAATATTTTTGTCATTTTTAGTAAAAAGTGATATTTTCGACTTCTTGTTGAAAACCGCAAGTCCAATTGCTTTGATATTACATATATAGGTACTACATGTGGACCTCTCTCATATTTGTTTATTTTGTAATTATAGATATCTTTAATTCTCTAATTTTGGTGAATATTTTTGTAATTTTTGGTAAAAAGTGATATTTTCGACTTCTTGTTGAAAACCGCAAGTCCAATTGCTTTGATATTACATATATAGGTACTACATGTGGACCTTTCTCAGATTTGTTCATTTCATGATGATATCTTTAATTCTCTAATTTTGATGAATATTTTTGTAATTTTTGGTAAAAAGTGATATTTTCGACTTCTTGTTGAAAACCGCAAGTCCAATTGCTTTGATATATTATACATATAGGTACTACATGTGGACCTCTCTCAGATTTGTTCATTTTCTAATGATATCTTCTGTTCTTTAATTGCCATGTGCATTGCTAACAGCGGAGCTATCTCAGCCGACAAGCTGCTTGTTCCATCTATTTAACTATTTTTGACCACGTATTTTTAACCCTGCTGTCGACTTTGTCGGGCAGAGCTTATCATAATGAATGATTGTCCGGTGTTGTCTGTGTTAACTTTTCAATTCTTTAATTGAAATCTGCATTGCTAACAGCGGAGCTATCTCAGTTGAGAGGCTGCTTGTTTTGTTATTTCAATAATTGACTGAGATAGAAGATTAAAATGTGATAGAACTGATGGAATAATTGTGTTTATTAAAACTTTGTTTCCTTTTCCCCATCCATCTAAGCTATGGGATTTAGCTGCCGGGAAGCTAATAAATGAATTCAAACACCATACTGGACCTGTAAATAATATTGAATTCCATCCTAATGAGTTTCTTCTGGCAACAGGAAGTGCAGACAGGTATATTCACTTATTTTTAATTTGTATGTAAGATGACTTTTTATTTAGGAAATCACTATTAAAAATGGTTAAACTCTCATCGGTTCACTCATTATTACCAATATATCTCATTATTTGTTTTCTGCATTAGTACTTTCTAACCATCACTTTTTTTTTCCTTTCAGAACTGTGAAATTTTGGGATTTAGAAAACTTTAACCTTGTTGGTACAACAGATAAAGAAGCTAGTCCAATCAGGTAAGTACTGTTTAGACATTTAGCTGGTATGTTGTGTGACATGAATTGGCGTGGAAGATTTACACAGTTTCTGTACATAAGCTTGGTTATTAAGCTTCCTTTTTGGGGAAGCCCAGTGGCTGGAGCGAAGACATGCTATGGCGCAAGTATCAATTTGAGTCACGCACACAGTACATGTTTACTTTGATTAAACATAGTATTTACCTTGCCATGTTTATGTTCAGCTAATTTACTAGCTGGTGTATGTCAGCATAATGTGAGGTTAGTGCAATAATACCACAAGATATACCTTCTGTCGGTAAGGGATTACATAGATGTTGAGAAATACACTGGTCAGATAGCAACCCAAAATGCCAGTGAAAAACAAGCGTATGTGCAAACTTTTGTGTTGATTGTCGCATTAGCCCACAGTCCTATAAACCTAATTGTTAACTGCAACTAAGTGGTACATTTTGAATTTGAAGATTAATTTTATTTATCTTCCTGATTATTCACCATGATGCATTCTTCATATACATATCACATTATAGTAAAATAATAACTATACTATACAGGGGTCGAAATACCCTGGTGCACACTGCACTATGCACATAGATTATTAGCTAGTGCAAGTACACTCAAAATATAATGTGCACGCTGTGCATGTAGAAATTAACACAACATTTTCTCATTACAATCACTAAGCCTAAATTACATTCAACCAACATTGTGGAAAAACTGAAAAAAAATCATATTCTTTCATGATCGTATCAATCGAGAACCCATAAATTTTATTTAAACTTAAACAACAACTTAGTGCAGGTAAATTTCAAATTCAACATGCACACTATGCATGCAGGGAAAAAATTCTATTTCCATCCCTGCTATATAATTCTACTATACTATTACTAGATGGGAGAAGATTTCAGTCTTTTACTGTTGTATGTTTAAAATAGTTACAATGACAGGAATGTTTGTATTACAGGTGTATACTATTTCATCAAGATGGTAATGTTTTATTTAGTGGAGGCCAGGACTCACTACATGTATATAGCTGGGAACCAGTCAAATGTTTTGATTCATACTCAATGGGATGGGGTAAAGTTGCAGATATGACGACTTCTTCTAATCAATTAATTGGAGCTAGTTATAGCCAGAGTAATGTGTCACTCTTTGTTGTAGATTTAGCCGTAAGTATTTCCTTTTTTGTTTTCGTTTTAACAACATGGATAAAAATAAAAATAAATATTTTGAAATTCATTCAATTTCACTACCTCAGATACAAAAATGTGCTATTTTTTTCTCTGTTTGTGTTTTGGACCATAGGCGAATGTAGACACAGACAACTTTTGTGTCGAAGAACCACTTGTTACGAATATCGAGACATAATAAAGAGTACCATACTCATCTGACTTGGTGCCCATGCTCGACTAAGCACCCATCTCCCACTTTTGGGGGATTTTTGTTTTTGGGATCACGTTCGACTAAGTTCCCTCTTCTTTTGAAATGTCCCAAATTAAACCAATTAAAAGTCATGAAACCTGGTCATTGAACATCATTTTACTCTTCTGAATAATCAGTGTCTATTGTGACTATCAGTCGTGAAAGGTGTTAAATACTTCTTCGAAATTCAGTTTACCTTTTAAAAATTTATGAATCTCCAGTTTAAAAAAAAAATTCAAAATCAAGGCCAACTTGACTGGTGCCCATTTTGTTTTTTGGCCATATTACTCATTATCTTAGGTATGAATAACATTTTTTCCAGATTGCAACGGGGACTATGCCATTAATGACTTGTTTTATTTTATTTAGAATATGACTCAAATAATTGTTTAAAAATGTTGTGGTCTGAAATGAACATGATTTCAGCGAAAAATAACACTAACATTTTAGTAAGAATTATTTTTATTTCATCAGTAAAGTGCAGTATACCATAGAGTGATGGCATCTACTAAAGAAGTATTGTAATACGTTTATCTTTGCAGAGAACTAATATGTCGGGTGATATTTCACATGTTGAACAACCAAGCAAACCCGTACAACAGCAAATACCTTTCACTGCTAGTGGACATCGAAAAAATTTTGTAACAGAGCGACCACATACACAGTGTAGCGGAGGGTTAGTAATACTGATATTGTGTTATCAACACTTAATGACTGTTGATTTCTACAACCAAATCTTTCTTAAAGGGTCATATAGCATGTATTTGCATTGCATGTGAACCAACAATTTTAGTCCTTATTCAGATGTAGTTTGAAAAGAGGACTATTAAAGGGGGAGTCGTCACTTGCGCACGCGTGGGAATGGAGTCCCAAGCGACGATTACAACACTGCTAAAAACGCAAGGGCTCATGGCCATCTGACGCATGCGCAGGTGACGACTCCTCTGCTTTAATTTATTCAGTGTCTGTCCACCTGTGCATCTTCAATATTTTATCAAAAATTAGGCAGCAGAAACTTTTCATGTTTATGCTGAATTATGTGATACAAGAGCTCTGCAATGTTTTTCCTAATCTGAATATCCTGAGTGGGTCTTTTGACATGATTTTCCCTGTTACAATCTCTCTCAAATCCATTAATAATTCAATACAGATTTTGCATGGATGGTAATATTACCTGGGGATGACAGTGATATTGATTTGAGTGAACCTAGTTAACATGAAATAACATGAAGGCAAGAAGCTGGGAAGACCAAAAAATTAAAGAGTAGTAATTAGGTTCAGAACAGGACTTAAAAAAGTATTCACAACCAAGACACTGGATCTGGATCTCGCTGTTTAGTTTACATTTTTTTTCAACTAAGAATCAAAATTTTTGCTTGTTGTATTTTAAATAAAAAACATGACATCGGTGAACTTTATGAGTAAAAATAACAGAAACTTTAAATTAAAGGGAAACCACCACAAAAACATTAACAATGTCGGTCGATGGTTTGCCATCATGAAACCAGTTCATTGTTTACGCTTTCCAATTCGTCAGAGAAATTAGGAATCACTATTTTTGCAAGTAGAATTTAAAACAAAAATATGATATCAGCAAATTTTATGAACTATACTAACAGAAAAGTTGAATTAAATATTCATTAAAAGAGAAATTGATCACGTGACGACGTGGGATGCCAAATATCTGTCTGCATAGCGGTCCCTTCCTCCAAGTGACGTTGCACAGAACTTCCATTACTTTCATGTTTGCTGCAGTTGCATGTCCCTTCTTTTTTAATGTCTTTGATATAACATAGATTTGTTATTTAATTGATAGTGATCAAGGCGCTGAAATGAAGACAGAGCCTGAAGAAGAACAGACACAAGACCATGGAGAGGATGATCAAAGTCCAGCACAGATAGAAAACCCAGACGACTATAGAGAACTATTTCAACCAAGGAAACACTTAGGTAGTTAAATGAGAAATGTGTACTGCTTGCTGCATTTTGTTTGTTTTTGAATATAAGTTTTCCCAACTCATCACTATGTTCTGACAAAGTGTGTCATGAAATCATCTAGCCTAGCCTGTCTACTATATTGCATTCTCTCTTGATGATTCATGGTACAAGATTGTTGGTTAAATCATCCTCACTTGCCTATTTCTCAAATCATTCTGTTGGTTTATAAAAATAAAGAAACATTTTTTTACAGCTCGATCTCCGCCAAAGGAGCCATTCCCAGCACCTTTAGCCGATCCAGTACCTGTGGCAGTTGTACCAGCTAACAACCAACAAAATGTCACAAGACCGGTCACTCAATCGGTCTCTAGACCAGTCACCCAATCCGTCAGTCAAACACATTCATCACCACCAAGGCAAGAACCTGAAGCACCAGTGCATCAGCCGCCACCTGCAGCACCAGTGCATCAGCCGCCACCTGCAGCACAGCATCATCCAGTTTCTAATGTCATACCATCTGACAGAGATAAACCTGTAGGTTTAGATATGAATGCTTTCCTTCCTGTGAGTATTATTTCATTTAGGGTTCATAATCAGCATGGGCTGACCTCTGTGTTGATCTCAATATTACCGTTACTGTGGCCTTGAATTTATTTCATACACCTGACGAGTAATATAGACAGCTTATTGGCTGACATTACAGCTGTGTTGCAAACAGTGTTGCTTCAGGAAGCCAGTAAATCGCTATCAGATTTGGGGCAAGATTGCTTGCAAACATAGCTGTATTGTCAGCTAATTGGCTGTTGATATTGCTGGTGTATTAAACAAATTTTCGGTCACAGTAACTTCAAAAGACAGGTTTTTATAAAGCAATATGACCTGTTGTCTGCATTGATGTCAACATTAGCATGTGAAAATTAACAATGTAACTACCGTACAGTTCTCGCGAAAGCTTTGGCTTTTCTGGCATCATTGTCGCCTACGCATGGCTTCATTGTCGCCTCAGCATCGCATCATTGTGGCATCAGCTTCGCGTCTTTGAAAATTGAAGCTGTGTTCGCCTCGCTCATTCTGTGGCATCATCGTGGCCTCAGCTTTGCAGTCTCATGGCATCAACATGGCATCAGCTTCAAAGTATTGTGACATGAGTATGACCTCGTTATTTTCATACGGAAAGGCAGTAGAGAAAAACACATGTACAGAAGTTCGATATGTAATCGATTTGAAATTCAAGGCGGTAAGGGAATAAAACAATATGAGTAAAATGACATTTTAAAAAGATATTTTGTTTAATTATTTAATGTTGCGAATATTGGGTACCAAAAACTTTTTTTTTTTCAGACAAGTACCAAAAACTTTGTGAAGTACATTGCAATCTGCAGGGTGACGAGTGTCATAATGACTGCAAGGAAAATCGTGATAATTTTAAATCACACGATGCATTCGTCCGGATACAACACAATTTGCTATATGAAATGAAACTGTTCTTGTTATAAAATAACCTTATTTTCGTTACATACAAAGTTCCAAAACAAGTGTGTACATTTCTAACTATGATTGGATGGTTGTGGTGGCGTCGGTCTAGTAAAATTTTACATCCAGTTTTCAAAATTAAGTCACGATCAGTGACCTAAGCTCGACCTATACGTACTTTAAAATTATTCTCACAAAAAATATTTTCGAATAAAAACGAGCCAAATGCCCTGTAAAAAATTGAATAGCACTTGACATGCAGAAATAATTTATTGGGCTTCAGAAAAAAACGTGTCCATTTAGTAAATATTTGGTGACCAGTCGATGAACAATTTGAAACTCATGATACACACGGAAGTCATTTGATACTGAATATCATCGACCCCAAGCTGGTTTACCTTATTTCCCAACTTGCAAAACTGATTTGTATCTCAGCCCAGTTTTTTTTTTCTTTTTTTGAACTGAGGTCAAATCCCAGCTGTTTGTCAAAATATACCGATGTTTTTTAGTGAATAATTGTGAAGCCTGTCACAGTACAAAAAAAACTATGTGAATCGACGCAGGAGATTGGATGGTACGACGACCCTTAAATTAGCGTCAAATATGCTTTGTTACAACATCATTTATTGGCCGAGAGTCACCTGATCGGAGCACACAACCTGGGTCACAGAACCATATGTGTCCATATTATCAACGGGACTTTGCGAGAGAACCACACTTTCAACCATTTTTAGTGCGGAAGTTGTCAACAAATGTCGAAAAACTCGTGAATTTTATGGATTTGAATAAAATAAAGCTTGGTAAGACTGGTTAATAATATATCCCCTGATGCTCTTCGATTTTTTTTAATTTTATTTCAAGGTGAGAAATGGATAATTGAAGTTCCATCGATTTCAAGACGACTGTTTCACCGCGACAACTCTATGCTGTGTTGTAGTTTTGCAAGGGAAAACAAAAATATAATAAATAGTACTTGTTTAATTATTTGGTTTTACAGCCCGCAAATTACGGGACATGATCTCCATGAATTACAATAAATAAATGCTGATTGTGTTGAATGACGGACGTCGGGACTGTTTGGAGAAACCAACGGGGATCAATATTCCAAACAAATTATTGGAACACTTTCGATAGACATTTCAAACAAATGAAATTATTAACGAAAGACGAGATTTTTTCAGATATTTACGAACATACTGTCATACTAAATATATGCAAAATTGACAAATACTCAAAGAGATATTAAGTTTTATTTTAGCCTTAGTAATATTTTCTTTCACTCAGTCCATGCGTGGGACTTCTATTGGGACTACTTCTTCATGGTCCTTCGGCTTGTCTTCTCCTTGGGGGAAATAACAATAATTATACAAATCGTAAACTCAGCACAGTCAGGAAAAGAAGCCCAGACAACCATGTCGTAATTCTGTTGAAATACATTTTGTAGCAGTGTAAGAATAAGTTGTTTAAAATAAAATAGTCAGTCCCAGCCAAATCTAGGTCAAAGGGTCAGTTTGTGTGCATATAATTATAGATAGTTAAAACAAAAAGTATTTGAACTTTTGACGGTTGTTCAACATCCATGCACGGTTACTAAACTAGTAATCGTGATCTATGAAAACCAGAAAATTTTTAGTAGACCAAATTTTTTCACAGTCGAAAATAAATCGGAAATTCAACAAGCGGTCGCAAAAGCGAGCGATTGAAAAGCGGAAGTGGGCGAGAAGTTGGGCAAAATGAGTTCTGTACTTCTTTGTTTGATGAAGCAATGCTGATGCCACATTGTCGCCATAATGAGACCACAATGAAACGAAGCGATAACCGCCTCAACTTTTTATCTCGCGACATTGAAGCGACGCTGAAGCCATAACAATGCCATATGATGCGATGCTGGAGCGAAGCTGATGCTGAAGTGAAGCCAAAGCTTTCGCGAGAACTGTACTGTACTTTTACTTGTTCTCTTTGCACTCAAGCATCATGGTCCTTGTAGAAAATGTCATGATGTCTGATAACAAAAGTACAAAACATGCATAAAAATTCCAGATCTGATCATAGTTATTGCTTCCATTTGATTTTTAGAAACAGCCACAGCACAGTGTGGCTCCATCAAGTTCTGTGAACAATGCTAACATAGGACCTCCTGAAGTTAGTGAAAGTGAGATCATCTCAGCAATTGAAAAAGGTCATGGGTCAATGTGTTCAGTTCTCACAAGTAGGCATAAAAATCTTGATGTTGTCAGGTCTATATGGACATCAGGTGAAATCAGGGTAAGTTTTTTTTTGAATTTTAGTTTAATTATGCATTCATAGCACTGGGAGTACAGCTATGGATATAATAAAAGTCTAATTTCATGAACCTTGAATCACTTGAAAATTAAGACTTCATATTCAATATAATAATTCTACTAATTGCAAACAATATTTTTTTTTATTCATTTTTCAGACTGCTCTAGAGTCTGCCATCAATATGAATGATTTGGCAATTATAGTAGACTTACTCAATGTTATGTGTCTCAAAACGTAAGTCATCATAGACTTCATTGTAAAATTGATTTTGACTTGCATGACTGCATATCAATTTACACATTTGTTCTAGTACTGCTTATGTAATTTCTTTTGAATTCTTACAATCTTTCCAGTCAAACCTCTTTCTGCATACAAACCATGTTTGCATTTCTTCATCATATGCATGTTGTTGTAATAACTTGGTAGATTTAGTATTAGTCGATTGTAACATGCATTTGTGAGATTGTGATTCATTAACATTGTCCTATGCTGGATCAAAATTGGCATTTGTCAAGCTCACCCAGACATGGGAAAACAAAATATCAAAACTGGTTGCCAATGTTATATCCTACATGTACTACCTCCATTTTCTGTAAAAAATACTATTTTTGAGTGGTTATTTGAAAAGCAAGATCCTAAAACGTTGACATTTGTAACCGTAAACATTTGTGATTTCTATTCAAAAGGTTAAAACACAAACTTGTTTTTTTTTTCGACACATGTACAAATAAATCTGAAACAGAAACCTTTTGTACATCTCTCTTCTTCACAGGTCACTATGGAAGCTAGATCTTTGTGTTGTACTGCTACCAAAAATAGAAGAGCTTGTTGAGAGTAAATATGAAAAGTAAGTAACCACATATTGTAAACTGTTTAATTTCACAATTTGCTAGTTTAATGGCGCTTGTAACCACATAATTTCATGAAAGTGGCTGACTTTTGTCTCTTGTGTCTTCAAGATGTTATAAAATGTGATATGGCTGCAATATTTTGCAATTTGTCTCTTGAGAATTGAATTGAATTGAATTGTAAGATCTGTGCTTGCAAACATCAGCAATATAGACTCGCCTAGAGTGGATGCGGACACAGGCGCGGCCACAAGTAGGTGCCAGCGAGATTCGAAAGCCAACTGTTCAGTCGAAACCCAAGCAGTTAGCCAATTCGCTAACGAGTTTGCAAATTGACTGCCCCAATACGTCTTCACTGAATTGGAGTGGATGCAAGGATTTGTAGTAATATACTTTTACATTTTGTATTTGACAGTCAACTTTATTTTACTAATAACGGAAAGGTAACATATAGGCAACTGTTAATTTGAATAGAACATAGTTTATACTGTTATTATTGCTATCTTCATTTTCACCATGATTTAGAAAAAATCTAACAATATTACTGTGACACAATCTATTGCTATCTCATCTTGTGTCTTTTGATTTTATACTGTTTGTTGTTTCTTTGCAGTTATATTCTTACAAGTTGTCAAGCCATTAAACTTATCATGAAGAGCTTTTCTCAACTTATTAAATCAAATATCACATCTCCTCCGTTATCAGGAGTAGATATTTCAAGAGAAGAACGGTAAGCAGTTTTAATAATTTACCTGTAGATATGCATTTCACCTCTATATTTCCTTATATCCTCGTAAGTGAACTATTTTTAAAGTTCACTCTGAAAGGCTTTGAGGTGTTTAGGTGGTATTGTTATTCCCCCAGGCACATTGTCAGTAGGGTATGTTGTGGGTACCAGTGTATGTTTGTACTATTGCAGATATAGATATTCACACTGGATCTGATCAACATATTCAATGACCATATATGGTCCTGTGATCTCATTAAAAAATATCATAAATATAATATCTGGTGCACTATTACAGATGTAAACATTCAACCAGTGCTTGTAATAAAGATGTATTGGGATCTGCCATCTTTGATGTGTTTTTTTTAGTTTTTAATGGGAAAGCAAGGTCATTGGACATAGCTGGGCCAATCACATTCAAACTACACTAATGTGTCGAACATATGCATGTCCATTCGTTTCAGTGTCAGTTTCAAGACGACCAGATGGCATGTGAGAGCCTATTAAGATAGTCATCACTTGTATGTCATTATTTATTAGTCCCTGGTCCAAAAACGGGGACTTATGTTTTGACCTCTGTGTGTCTGTGCGTGTGTCTGTGCGTGCATCCGGACCTGTATCTTAGAAATGCCTGGACCAATCACAATCAAACTTCACACATACATCATACATGATATTATACATATGCACATCAATTTGTTTCATGATCTGATTCAAGATGGTCGAATGGCGGTCATTTTTGTGCTAAAAAATCCTAAAAATCAAGCATTTCTCGGCTGTTTACAGATGGATTTTGTTCAAACTTGGTATATACATTAGACATTATAGGACCTTGATGCACATCATTTTGTTTTACGATCTGATTCAAGATGGTTGAATGGCGGCCATGTTTGTGCTAAAAAATCCTAAAAATCAAGCATTTCTCGGCTGTTTACAGATGGATTTTGTTCAAACTTGGTATATACATTAGACATTATAGGACCTTGATGCACATCATTTTGTTTAATGATCTCATTTAAGATGGCCGAATGGCGGCCATTTTTGTGCTAAAAAATCCTAAAAATCAAGCATTTCTTGGCTGTTTACAGATGGATTTTGTTCAAACTTGGTATATACATTAGACGTTATGGACCTTGATGCAAATAATTTTGTTTTTCAGATAAGATTCAAAATGGCCGACTGGCGACCATTTTGTTTTAATGAATGTGGCTCTCGTGCCATATCTCTGACTTGCTTTCACTGATTATATTCAGATTTTAAATATTCATTATACATGATGTAATAGATAGACAGATATATTGGTTTGACGATCCTATTCAAAATGGCCAAATGGTGGCCATTTTTGTGCTAAAAAATCATCAAATATCAAGCATTTCTGGCATTTATGGATGGATTTCGTTCAAACTTGGTACATATATTAGACATTACAGGTTCCTGATGCACATCATTTATTTTTCAGATTGGATTCAAAATGGCTGTCTGGCGGCCATTTTGTTTTAATGAATGGGCTTCTAGACCCATATTTCCGACTTGTTTTGACTGATTATATTCAAATTTTAAATATTCATTATACATCATGTCCATAGATAAACAGATATATTGGTTTGACGATCCTATTCAAAATGCCCGAAAGGTGGTCATTTTTGTGCTAAAAAATCATCATATATCAAGCATTTATGGATGGATTTCGTTCAAACTTGGTACATACATTAGACGGGTTCCTGATGCACGATCATTTTATTTTTCAGATTGGATTCAAAATGGCTGACTGACATCCATTTTGCTTTAATGATTGGGGTTCTAGAGCCATATCTCTTAAATGCTTTGACTGATTATATTCAAATTTTAT